GCTCCATTTAATGAATACAAGAGACAAGCCAAGAAGCGCCGAGTAGACACTGAATAGGACTAAACTATTTACAGAATAGTTTTTTGCCTTTTGTTTCATAATAAATTTTATTTCTATAACCCTTTTGCTGATTTTTAAAGTGTTACATAAACAGGACAGGTGAAATATTATCATGTAAAGCAACCATAAACACATGAAAAGACCTAGGTTTACAATTTGATTAAAACTCTACTATCTACACAATATACATAGACATAAAATGTAAAAACTTAAATATCTTAGAAACAGTAGCCAAACAGTTGTTTTAATTGTCATATTTGAATTCAGCACATCAAAATACATAATAAATAGCACATTTTATCTCTGAAGCAGACGACTTCTCAAAAATTGTAGACCAGTGTATCCAGAAAGATAATCATGGGTGTAGTTAGTTATTGAGTTACTAATAGTAAAAGAGAAGGAGCAGTTATCATTTTAAATAGTTGTATCTTTTTTGGATCCAGAACTAATCTGTTTTTATTCAGCCATATGTGGCTGTCCCATGCAAGATCTTCCATAAGTTTTAAGTCCTGCACTGCTGGGGATGCATGGGTGGAAAGGGCATGTGTAGAGTATCAGGCCGTGTTTACACTACGGAGGGGAGATCGATCTAAGTTACACAACTTCGGCTACGTGAATAACTAAGTAGCTGAAGTTGACGTACTTAGACCTACTTTCCACTGGGGCCATGTTGATGGGAGACGCTCTCCCGTCGACTCCCCTTGCGCTTCTCATTCAGGTGGAGTACAGGAGTCAACGGGAGAGCGACCTGCGGTCGATGTAGCAGGTCTTCACTTGCTAAATCGACTGCTAATACATGAATCACTGCGCATCAATCCCCCGGTAAGTGTAGACAAGACCTCAGTGTGAGGGATCTTGTGCATCTCCTACTTGTATAGGGCCTTCTGCTGCTCCAAACCTAAGAAAGAGTAGTGGCCTCACAGGAGGCCTGTGTTCATGCCCTTTCCTTGGGTTGGTAGGTGGATTTTGATATACCAGGCCCTGTGCACTTCGCCTGTATAAATGCCTATTAATATGACTATGCAAGTGAATTAAATCTTCCATTGAGGTATACTGAAACTATAATGTGCCTTCTAAATTTCCATTTTAAATTGAAGAATAAGAGGATCCTAGCCCTGTAGAAATGCTGCTGAAGCTGAAAGCCATGTTCCTTTCAAGTTTTACAAATAGCTTGAGGCAAGAGGAAATCCTAGACCCACTTTTGGTCCAAGCAGTGACAGTAGAATTAACTGGATAGAAAACCCTGAGTCATGTCGTCCAGTAGTCTGTACATTCTTTCAAATGATTTTTCTAAACCTTTTAATGTTTCACAATGAAAATGCTGTTAAATTATATCTTATTTTATATGAACAATATGTTATGGGCCATTACAAATCAAAAACAAATCTGTAAAGAATTAATCTTTCTCAAAGCAAGATCCCATGGGTAATCTTAATGGTTTAATAGTTTTGTTTGCTTATTGTTTGAAGAACTGGAAAGAATTAAAGTATAAAACTATCAAGAAAATTGCTTGGAATACAAAGAATGGGCAGACTAATCATAATATTACAGCACTAATCCCACGTATCAGTAACAAAATACAAATAAACAGGGCGATCAATTGTAAGTATAAGAGTCAAAAGTATGTCTCTTCAGCTATTTAAAAGTGCCTAAGTAGGCTGTATATAGTAAATTATGCCACCAAACATAGGTTAGGGGTACGAAGGCATGATTGTTGGGAAGTGCTAAAGGAAGGGATAAGGGATTGGGGGGGTGGAGGAGGAGGGAGATATAAAATACAACAAATGCATTGGAGCAAAAGCCTTGTTTTGTAGGTAAAGCTCCGAGCACGTTGGGTGTGTTAAACAAATAGTAAGTCTAGAAATCTGAAACAAACCCTTTGAATTAACTATGCAAATACTGTTAAAATTGTAAAGACCAGCAAAATGATTTTTGAATCTGATTCTCAATTTGAAAGGCATTCAGTGTAATTGCACAAATTGTGAAGCAATGTCAGAGGGGCCATAACAGCAAGAAGTTAAGTTCTGGCAATAAAATTCTAAATAAGCTTGTAAATTTAGTAAAGAAGAAACTAGAAGGTCAATAGCATATCAGAGCAAACCAAGGCAGAAGCTAAAATTCCAGCAAGTAGAAACAGTCCTAAAAAAATCTCTCACTATGGATATTTTCTGGATAGTTTCACAGTTTTAATTCTTTCCAGCTTTTTATCCATTTATCTCTATTTCTCTCCCGCCCTTTTCCAGCTCCTCCCAGACCACCTGGTCATAAACAACTCTCTCTCTCTTTGTTCTGATGCCATAAGAGTTCAGGTAAAGCTTGAATCATTTTTACTGTGGTTAAAAATTCTACAAATATTTTATTGTTGATTAGCATAAAGTTATGTAGCAAAATTGCATTGGAAAAGCCTAAAGTGGCCTCACACTCATGTATCAGTCTATGTAACGTGCTTGTTTTGAGTTAGTACATAGAAGTATAAATATATTGAGCGTCTCAGTCTGTTCATGATTTTAACTATACCCCTCTATCCAGAAAATCCCTTTGTTTAATACAACATAGGGAGAAGCAAAACAGAGAAAAGGTATATAAAACTGGGGAGATCTCAAAGATCCAAGGCCCATTTTGAATCAGGAGTTTCTCACCTATTGCCAGCAAACTGTAGGTGTATGCCATTTGATTAGCACCATATTTCATATGAGCAGAAGGAAAAATGATTGTGAGATGATTGAATTTTGTGCATATTTACGCTTTAGTATTGATAGTTCTCTATATATTACGTTTTTATTTATTGTAAAATATTCTTTCTGCTCCTCTCCTGGTCTTTTAGATAGAAATTTTCCTGATGGGGTTAGAAAGTCAATAAGCTTGGTAAAAATGGCAAAGAATGATGACGTTAGGTGGTAGTAGTGAGCATTCTATAATCTCTGAATGGATGGCACCTTTAGATAAGGTAATTACTTAGCTTGGGAAAATCATACATTTCTTTTCTGTGGTAAGCTACGTACATATCTTTCAAGATGTAAAGGTTGAAATGTTTAACAAAGACCCAAAATGTCATCTTGCTTTTCTCATTTCTCTTGAGAATGCTGCTGTGAAGATAATTTTCCTAGCCCATTGCTGTGACGATGTAAACCCTCTCTTTGCATTCCTTCATTGGCTTCCTATTCTCTAGTACAGGGGTTCTCACAACCAGGAGCGCTGCCAGCTTTTTTGCCGCCCTAGGCGGCGGAAGGTCCCGCCCCCAACAGAGGCGGCGGAAGGTCCCGCCCCGAAATACCGCCGAAGATCTGGCCGCAGTGGTCGCTGCGACCGCCTAGGTCACCTAATGGGTTGCACCGGCCCTGCTCACAACATATTTTTTGGTGGCCTCAGAGTGCAGCCACCAACTCTTGCTGGAGGCCTTGCTAACAATTTTTCCTAAAATACTTAATTAACTTTAGGAAAAACAAATAAATATGCACATACACCTCTACCTCGATATAACGCTGTCCTCAGGAGCCAAAAAATCTTACCGCGTTATAGGTGAAACCACGTTATATCGAACTTGCTTTGATCCGCTGGAGTGCGCAGCCCCGCCCCCCCTGGAACACTGCTTTACTGTGTTATATCCGAATTCGTGTTATATCGGGTCACGTTATATCGGGGTAGAGGTGTATACATGTCCAGATCATTGTAATTTATTTATGTAGTGTTTTTTTGCAGACTCAAAAATAAAAATAATGTATAGTTGTCTCTATTCTTTACTGCACCTAAAGAGAATAGAAACAAAAATTAAGGTACTTTGCATGTTTTAACTTTTTTTTTTTTTTTAGATTGCTAGTTAGGAAATCTGCCACTGTGAAAAGTGATAGTTCTATATTTGTTAATATCATTCTTCACAGCACACTTACTCAGCCCTGGCATGTTGGGGGACAAATTAAGCCCTGGATGAAGAGGTGGGTAAGGAGGCACGGGGGCCAGGGACAATGGGGATCTGGAGGAGCCAGCAGGGGTCGAGATGATGGTGGGGGGTGAGTCTAGGGATGGAGCCCAAAACCCTGCCGCTGTGGGACACAGCCTGCCACCTGTCACCCCAGGGCGGAAGGAAGCCTGAAGCCCGAGCCACACCGCCCTGGCAAGGTGGGGAACTCACACTGGTTGCCTGCTCCTATAGTGTTTGTGGCTCCAGAGGGGGGTAGGGATCAACCCCTGCAGGCAGTCCCGGGGGAGAAGCCACTGCTTTGCCACAGCCCCACCCCAATCACAGCCCAGGAGGCTGTGGCCTCAAAAAAAGCTTCTGGTGGCCGCATTTGAGAAATCTGCTCTAGTACCAGACACAAACTATTTGTCTTTGCTTTTAAAGCTGTTTGTGGCGTATTCCCACTCTACCTATCATGTCTCATTCACTAACAATATGTCAACTGTCTCCTCCAGCCAGCCCATAATGCCTCCATCACACACTTGTTAAATCTTCAAACAACGAGAAACTTGGCAATGATAAGGCTGCTGGTGTGCTGAGAGTACTGCCTATCTTGCTGACCAATACTGTGTTCTTGTTTCCTTGTGCTCCCCCATTTGTCTGTGTCCACTGGTTGCCAATGTCTTATTCTTAGATGGTAATCTCTTTGGGGCAGATACCATCTTACTGTTCTGATTGTACAGCACCTCAAACAGTCCCGGCCCCTGACATCTAGGTGTTACTGTAATACAAATAATAATAATAATTAATACAAATTAAGTACATCTCAGAAACACTTGAGCAGAAGTTAAGTGATTTGGAATTAATTTTCTTTAACATAATTTTCTTTAATATGCTTACCAGATATGTAATGGTAACATTATGCTAGAAATCAGGAAAGCGTTCTAAGCATTTACAGCATTAGGCTTTCTGCTGCCTTTTTGTTATTGTAAAGCAATGAAAGAAACGCTTACATATTAGTTGTGTCTCTGTTTTCCCTTCCCAGATAATCGCTCTTTAGTGGAAATTGCCAATATGTATCATTCCATATCTGAAACCAGTCACCCCTTGCAAACAGAAGAGCAAGAAATAGGCATTGATCCCTTGCAGGGTTACTTGAACAAGCCTGAAGAAGGTGAGTTTAATATTTCTACACTTTTTACTTTGTACTTAGAAACCTTACGTAAGAGTCTCATGATTGCTATGCCTGTCATAATTTGTGTAATTCTCTCAATGAAGTTGAGCAGGGCAACTTTAAGAACATTTCACAGTGTGTGTGTAGAGCTCTGACACTAATGAAAACCACGAAAAGTCAACTTTCAATTACGGATAGAAACATTAGCCAAATGTTTAATGCGCTGTCATCCTTTTTTAATCATAAACCAAACAGTGACTTCAGCATAAGAATATTGAAATGCAACATGGCCTTTGTTGCAACTTTTTTCAAAGATGGGCTCTTTTGGCTGATCTACACTATTGATTTTTTTCTTTGATAAAATTTAGCCTTTTATTTTGGGTGAGGTTATGCCGATGAAAAAAGATTTTCTTTTTTTCTTCCTTTGAATCATAACACTTAGCTCTCCTGGTTTCCTTAAATAAAAACCTAAAGTAGAACGGGTGGAATTAAAATGGAAATTACTGTGTAACTCAAGGTAAATTAACAGAAGGCAGTATTCAGACTGCCCCAATGAACAGTGAGAAGAAACTACTTGCATAATGCAAGTGCTTGTCTGTGTTACTTGTCCTTTCTACTTATTTGCTAGTAGTGACAACATGGTTGGTTAGAAGGAAATGATAAGCTTAACAAGATGCTTGAAACCTCATCCTTGTCATGAAAACATTCCTCAAGTACTCAGTTATACACAATGACACCTTAACTACCTGTAATTTTCCAGTCATTGAACGCATGTACTAGGAATGCAAGATAAAAAATTCATTTTAAATTAGAATTGAAACAGCTTAGTCACGTGTTTTCTGTGTGCCTCTATGTGTAAATCTGCCATATAATAAAATGTATTAAAAAGAGCAGCATTTCAATTTTTAATTCAGATATCAATTATTTTGTAAAAAGCTAAAATCAGAGTTCATTTTTTTTACTGCTTTATAAAGCTTTTTTCAATGTGAGGAAAAGTAGAATGGACATCTTGGTGGAGCCCATTCTATAAAGGTAATAGTTTTTTCAAGTGAATGGCACTACGCTTTTACACTTCACATCTAAAAGGTTAATAGCCATCTTAGTTTGATAAAGCAAATGCATTCTTAGTACACATTTTCAGAAGCCTAGGAATAAAGATTTATAAAATTCTGAAGTATTACATGTTTTCCAAATGAAATATTTGTGATGTACTTTAGGTTAGTGTGTAGCCAACACTGATCAAAAATTGCAAGTTTCTTGTTTAATTTAAAAAAAAAAAAATCCACACGTCTCTCTCAGCTCCGTTTCAAGACAAGTCAAGATTTTAACCCTGTTACAAAAACATTTTAAATTAATTTTACCCTTTATTGTGCCCAAGAGTGATTAGTTACCTTGAAGGAACAGGCTTTTAGTTTTTATCCCAACCTTAACATCTCTATGACATACAAAGTTATTAGTATTGAATTGATGTTTAAAAGTGCCATTAATTCATTTACCCCAAATGTTCATTAACAATGTAAATGTATGCTGATGTTCTATGAGACAAGGAAGTGACTAATGACTCTTCCCACTAACAACACTTAAAATGAATAGAAACTTTAGATAGCTCATCTTGAAGTAATCAAGGCCCTCATTCAGCTTGGCATCTCTGTATGCTCTAAAACAGCTGTCAACTGTTAAAAATATATACACAACACACACATACACACATGGGAAGATAAGGATATGTAAATACATGGTTCCCCCAAAGTCAGAAAGGTTACCAACCATAGTACGGTTTTTTTTCACATTCTGTATATGTAAATATTTTATATAATGCATCCATTTCATTTTCATAGCTTCTTTTTTTTTTTTTTTTTTACTGTGAAACACATACTGCATTTTAATTTGGTGCCATATGTAACCAAGATCAGTCTTCTCTGTTTTATCATTTAATTTTAAATAAAGTATATTTTTGGATTGCTGTGGGAGAGGGCTTGTATATCAAAGCATGTAATTTTCCTTGCCCATCCAATCCGCCTCCGAAGTTCAGTGTAAGGAGGCAATCACTGATTCCTAAATGAGTATTCTAACCATTGGGATGAATCCATCTGTTGATCAGAGACTTTGGTAGGGCCCTAGGTATGTGTAATACAACAGGTCAGACTAAGTGATCATAATGGTCCCTTCTACTGAAATAAATTTAGTCATTCATTGGGAAGAGTATCCCTACAATCATATGCTGGCCTCAGATGTGAGAATCAAAGTGTCACTCATGAACCCATTTCTCTCACATGGTAATATGTTGTACTACTAATGTACCATTTGTCTATGCTGGGGTTTGATTTTATCTTTTGAATTGCTATTTTAATATTTTGCTAAAATACTGTCCACATCCCTATATTTTAAGATAAATGTGTTTTCCAGTTATAGTTACAGGGGGCAATCCCGCAGGCAGGCAGAGGGGGAGGGGCGCGGGGAGCTTGGCGGGCCACACGCAAGAGCCCCGCGGGCCATGTGTTTGACACCCCTGGACTAGAACAATGTATTTAATCCTTTTCAATTTAATTTGCTCAATATTACAATTAATACAATTAAGGTCACTTGAAATGAAACTATTAATGAATTGGGTAATTTACTTTAACAGTGTCAGTGTGTTCTCACAATTTCATTTGCTTTAATTAGTGTACAAGCTATTATTTAATAGCATACTTCACATAGAAAAATGTAATATGTTCTTGGCTTCTATTAAAGGAATGGAAAAACTTGTAATGAGTTACGAGTGATTTTTTTTTAAAAAAGATGTTAGATGGTGAGAAAGGAAAAGGGTGACATGGTTAAAAAGATAGATATCATAGGGTATGACTGAAATGAGCACAATCAAAAATTGTTAAACTTCCCATCTCAGGGGCCAGGTCAATATTGTCTGTAGTATTTTACAATACTTTGACTACATACGTGCTATAGTCTATATTTATTTTAAAATATACTATGCTTTTATTTAAAAACAAATGTGGTGAAGTTTCTCTTGAACTCCTCTTTACCATCCTCTTTGGGTTGGTGAGCCTCTGGTTGATCCACTGTGATATTATGGCAGTGCTCCTGCTTTTGTTCCTATATTTTGAGTAGACGGAATTGGGCTATGACAAGAGTTTCTAATCATGAGAGCACAAGCACCTCAGGCTAGGAATAACTACAAGAAGAACATAGTGCTTTTGTGACTTTCCCTCAGACAGATTGCTGCTGCTACTAATGACCATTGCCTGTTAAAGCTGAAGGTTCAGAAATCTGGAGAATTTATGCAAATGACTGAATCCCCTAAAATGCATGTTTGATGAATATACATTGCCTTACTTAAATGACACAAAATATCCTGATTACCAATACTTAGGACTAACAAGGCTGCAACATGATATGAGCATTTGGAGCATACAAATTGCTATGTTCCTGGATGGCTCTGGTATCTTCTTGGGTTGGTGTGCAGGTAACTCTGGCAAATTCCCAGGCTGCTGCTCCTTGTCCTTTACAGGACAGGCTGGAGCTCTGGTTGAGTTGCTAGCTATGCTATATACCACTTTCCCTGGATGGATGGAAGTTCTGTCTTTTCCGGCAATCAGTTGGGGGAATGCTTTGGATGGGCTGCAGCCCCTAGCTGGGTCCAGCTCTGGCTGCTCATGCCTGCTGCTTACTGGCTGGGTTTGCTGTAAACTCGTTATGGCTGCTGTTCCCTGACTTGCTTGCCGGCCCCCGTAACCAGAGAGAGAGATAGCTAAAACACTGCCCAGTGTTGTCCTAGTGCTAGCTCCAACTCTGTGGTCCTGGGTGCTTTGGGGATCAATGGTGTAGGCTACATCTCTATGGTTAGAGTCCTCCTGGGTGGGTCTCTATGGTTAGTCCTGAAGGAGTCTAACTAGAGAGATGCAGCCTACAGTGTCCCCTCAGCTCCACCAATCAGGAGGCATAAACTCCTAGGTGGGAGCAGTTTAGAAAGCAGCTAAAACTAGGAGCCTGCTGGCCAGATCAAAAGATGGTCTAGATAATACTTACTCCTGCCTCAGGGCAAAGGACCGGACCAGACAGCCTTTTGAGATCTCTTCCAGTCCTACATTTCTGTGATGCTATTTAACAAATATGAGTGACGCTGCAGCCACTTGCTCTCAGCTGTCGCAGTGTGGCCAACCTTGAGAGAGTAAAAACACGAGGGTTTAAAAAAAATTGTGGTTTGTTGGTCTGTCTTTTGATTATTGAAATCCCCCTGCCCATCTCCAGTCTGTGTGTGACAATTAATGCTGCTCACTCCCCAGACTAGTTGAGTAAGGTCATTTTGGCCCCCATTGAAGAAACTCTCACCTCCTTATCTTCCTGTTCCTGCCTAGCAATTCATTCTGCCCCCACCCCCTTCAATTCGGCCCACCATCAGTTCAGCTTGCCCCCCGCATCAGTTCAAGCCTTCCCTTAAATCTACCCCCCATCACTTCAGTCCATTCAGCTCACAACCCCATCAATTCATTCCTTTACCCCCAGATCAGCCCTCCCCTTCCCAGCCTCACCTCCGCTCCTCCTGGGTTCTTCATCCCCTTTCCCAGACTTGCAGTGTTGCCAACTCTTGCAGGTTTTTGGTGAGTGACGTGATTTTGGCTGGGGTTGGAGCCAGTCTCGGGATCAAACAAGAACCTCTAGCCCAGGGGTCATCAGTAGGCAGACCGCAAGCCAAATCTGGGCTGCCAGATGCTTTTGAACAGACCCCAGTATTTTTAATTTACTTATTATTAACATTACTATTATTTTTTATTATTTTCTCTGGAATCTGGACCTGACTATAGCTTCGCCAAGAAATTTGGACCTTGACAAAAAACGAATTGACTACCCTGGCTCTAGCCAATCTGAGCCCTCTGATTGGCTGCGTGGCCCACTTGCCCACCTCATGGGGCAGAATAACTAATTAGAGCAGATACAAGCAGATCTCGCTTCCTCTCCACCCTCCATAGCAGGGGTCTCAAACACGCGGCCCGCGGGGTTCT